TCTGGGCATGGTATGGGTTAAACTGGGGTCTCTTCTTAGAGTCTCACAAGGCCAAAATAAAATGATCAGTAGAGCTATGTTCCTTATTGGAGGATCTGGTGAAGAATCACCTTGCAGGCTCATTCATGGTGGTGGCAGAACTCTGTCTTTTCTCATGCTTTCCATGTGGCCTCCTCTTTCATCTTCAAGCCAGCAACAATATGTCAAGTCCTCATGCTTGGAATCTCTCTGACTTCTGCTGCTGCTAGCTGGAGAAACCTCTGCTTTTAAGGGCTCATATGATTAGATTAGGCCCATCCAATTCAGTTAATCTCCCTAATTAAGGTAAATTGTACCATATAACATAATGTAATCTTTTTTTCACATTATACAATTCAATTCATTTTTTTTCAATTATTGTTGGCATATAATAATATATTCATTTCAGTTGTACAGCATAGTGATTAGAGAGATCTATATAACTCACAAAATGATCACCCCGCTAAATCTAGTACCCCTCTTCCCCCTTACATGTTTATTACAACATTATTAACTATTTTCCTCATGCTACACTTTATATCTCCATGTCTATTTTGTAACTATTCATCTATACTTCTTAATCCTTTTGCCCTTTTTCGCTATCCCCCTAACATCCCTCCTATCTAGTAGCCCTCCAAATATTCTCTGTATGTATAAATTTATTTTCATTTTCGTCATTGTTGTTTATTTTGTTCTTTAGATTACACATATATGTGAAATCGTGCAATATTTGTCTTTATCTGACTTTCATTCAGCGTAATAGCCTCTAGGTCCATCAAGGCAATATCTTTTTCCATCTCCTTTTAGTCTGTTTGTGTCTTTTAATCTGAAGTGAGTCTCTTGTAGGCAGCATAAGTAGGGGTCTTGTTTTCTTATCCATTCTTATCCATTTTCTTTTATAATTTCCATTTCCATTTTATGTGTGTGTGTGTGTGTGTGTGTGTGTGTGTGTGTGTGTTTTATCTCTTTGATGTTAATGTGCTCTTCCCCTAAGTTCGTTGAGCATCTTTATAGCCAGTGTTTTGAACTCTACATCTGTCAGATTGTTTGACTCCATTATTCCTAGATCTGTGTTCTGTTCTTTCATATTGTTCTGCTTCTTTGTCTTCCCATTTTGGCTGCTGTTCTGTGTCTGTTTCTACATACTAAGCAAAGCTCCTAAGTCTCCTGGTCTTATTGGAGTGGCTCCGTGTAGTGGGTGTCCAGTGACATAGTCCTGAGAGGGGTTCAGCTGCAGGACAAGTTTGGTCCCTGCCTGTGCTTCTCTGGGGCCACCTATTAAGATTCAGCAAGCAATTCACAGATGCTGTGCTTAAAGTTGCCTCAGAAGGCCACACCAGAAACTGAGGCCAGCTGCCACCAGTGTGTCTTGGCGCTACTCAGCAAGTAGCACTGGACTCCCCAAGGACACAAATTGTTGCAGCTTGGGTGGAGCTGCGAGTTAGGGGAGGTGGAGTTTTAGGGACTCTCTTGGTGGAACGACCTCTTATCCAGTTTGATGATATCTCAGCTATGGCAGGCTCTGCACACTGGGAGTAGGGAGGGCTCAACAGAGGAAAAATGGATACCACCGGCACTTCTGCCCGGGAGAGAGCCTCGCCTCCCACCTTCACTTCAACAACTCAGTGTCCCCCAGTAAGTCCCTAGTGCCCCCCGTGCAGTCAACCCAGTGCTGGTGATCAGAGCAAGCAGTTCGTCACCACAAGAGTCTGATCGTGGACATGGCCCCTTTAAGAGGTGTCTTCAGCTACCAGCTGCCGCTGCTGATAATCTCTATCCCACTCAGGCACTAGGGACCAGTGAGCCTTACGTCTTCGCCCCCTCCTACCTTCTGCCATTGCAGGTTGATTAATTATTTCTCTCCCTAGTTGTAGTGCTGCTGTTCATCTAGATCTCATGCAATTTTTCCTTGCTGTTTGCTCTATGTTTCTGTTACAACTTTGATTTGGTCACAAGAGGGATGAACAAAGCTTCTATCATCTATGCCATTTTTTCACAGAAACACATAATGTAATCTTGAGAATAACACCAGAGGATGAAGATCATGGGGGCCAAAATTGTGCCTATCACAATCATTTTAAAGAGTTGGGGCTTTATTCTGTTGTGTCTTCTGTGAATTTTAAGAAGAGTGATGTAGTCAGATTTCTGTTTTATAACACTTTGGTTGTAATACAGATGAGGGTCAGCTTGGGGCAACCCTGAAGTCATGAGAACCCATTTGAAGGAGTATAATTTGGGATTCAGTTATAGACAACAGAAGCCACATTAGCTATTTTAAGGAGAAAGGAATTTAATACAGAAATAAGGTGCTTATAAAATCTTTAGAAGGGGCTCTCTCCCTAGGATTGCTTCTAGAATGGTACCACAGAAGTGGCTCATGACAGGCACTGCTAACTCTGCTAGAATCACATAAAGGGACACTGAAGAAGCTGCTGTCCTTGGTGCCATATCACACCACCTTAGCTAAGATCTGAAGATCAGCATGGTGCTGCCACAGTTCTTGACTGCAAGAACACACTGCTTGAACTGAAATATAGTAATTAGGAGGCCTCTACCCAAATTGTTTCTGCTAGATCCATTATTTCCCAGGACTGTTAAGTATGATTAATAGAAGCTAAATCTAACCTGCAAAGGAGTGTAGGAAATATAGTTTTCAGTTCTAGTTTTTGCAGTACAAGAAGGCATTCTGGAAAGAAGTTGGAACAGAATAATGAGGATGCTTATCAAGCTTATGTATCCACAGGGCTTACTACTAGTTCAGATTTGGGTCTTTTTAAGGTTATTCTGTCTGTTGACCTGAGGAGACTATACCTGCCAAAAAGGACTCGTAGTAGTTAACTGGACTCAAATTCATAACTAGAGTATAGCAGCCATTGTTTACAAAGGCCTCTTATGCATGATGCATTTCAGGGAAAAGCTACAGACTGGGCTGCCAAGCTTCCAGTGCTGTGCTCCTGGTGTCTGAGTTGACCCTTATAAGAGAGTTCCTAGAACTGAAATTCAACCAATAGGACTGAGATTTTCGCTGTCGAACCAGAGCTGCGCAGCTATATCCACATTTGCATCTTCATTGGCCAATCAGAGTGGTCCATTTCAACCAATCAGGATAATGCTATTTGAACCAATGTGAGGATTTGGAGTTCTTATTTGCATAGAAATGGACCAATCAGGGACTGGGTGCAGACACTCTTATAAGCCAGCTTCACCTCTGCTTCAAGGAGTGCACTTTCCATAGAAAACTGTTTTGCCCTGATAAGAGCTGTAACACTGGAGCTATAACACTAGAGCTGGAACTGTGACACTTGAGCCACCTAGCCTGAGCCACTTTGTTTGAGCCACCTCTTCAGAACTGAATCCACTGAGCTGTTTCAAACCTGAACTGTCTTACACTTGAGGTCTTTCACAGTTGGAAGCTGTTTTCACAACTGAGCTGTTTTCACTGAATAAAGTCTCTGCCTTTGCCACACCCCAAAATGGGGACTCCTGTTGTCTTTGACTCAGTGCCTATGACTTTTAGTTGACACTTTTTTCTTAGCTGCCGCTAGTGATTTGTTTATCCTTTTAAAAAATACTATTTTGGGTTCAGGTCCTGGGAATAGAATATTCTGTGATCTGTTTTATCATACCACCACCTCCTCCAAGGGGTTCTACCTAAAGGGATTTCAATTGTATATTTTCTAAGGGGTATGTGTGTGTTTTAATAAC